TCAGTCATGCCCCCCCCCCCCCCCAGTGCTGGGATTAAAGGCGTGCACTGTGGAGATACTAGTTTTTAAGGAATAGTTTAGCTCAAACAGAAGGGTAAATTTCTTAATCCTGCTGCAAGAAGTTAATTTAGAATGGCATATAATTGCAAACTAAGAAATGCATTTGGAGAATGCACAACTTGGGTAGCATATCCAGATTATTGCTGTAAAGCAGGTATGTACACTTGGAAGAGATTTCTTAAATTTAGCTTCCTGTTACAGGTATAAATTGGCCATGATTTTTGTTTTCTTCCCTCTGAACCAATTCTGTATAGCTGCCTACCCCTGTAGTTTCACTTCTCTCCTCATATTCATATCACCTAACAGCTGCCAAGCTTTACTTTCTGGACTTACTACACTGCACTTGCCATTTCTTTCCCCCTTGAGGCAGGGTCTTTAGTTTAGTCATTTACTGTGTAGTTGAGGATGGCTTCTATCTTGAGTGCTACAACTATAGGTGCATGCTACCATTTCTTTTAAGAGGTGTTGGGGACTCAGCCCAGGACTTCGCTTATGCACTCTACCAGCAGAACTACTTTGTTAGCCCCTACAGTTGTGTTTCTGTGTTGTATACATTGTTTCATTTCACTCTGAAAGGTTTTTCAGGGTTAAATTTGTAGACATAGTGCCAGAGTAAGTAAATTACTTGAAATTATAAATGGTAGATATTAGTAGGGATATATAAAATGCCTGTTAATGGAGACCACAGAGCCCTGTGCCTTGGCTGGCCTTAGACCTTAAGGCTTCCTGTCTTAGCCTTCTGAGCCCTGGAATTGCAGTGTTTACAGCATATCCTAGCACTTTTAGTTTTTCTTTTATTTCTTTTTCTTTTATGCGTTATTGAGAGAGGGACTCATAAAGTCCAAGCTTCCCTCAAACTTGGTAGCTGAGCCTGCTTGAAGTCCTGATCCTCTTGTTTCTTCTATTCCTAAGGGCTGGGATGGCAGAAATGTGCTTTGGTTCCTTCCTAGGTAATTTTCTTTTGCCAGTATTGGGGATTGAATCTAGGGCTTCATGTACAATAGAGGAGAGGAGCACTCTGTCACTATTCTGAAGCACTGTTGATTGGCCTAGATTGATCTGTAACTTGTCCTCTTGCTCTAGCCTAACCAGTTACTGCCCCCACCCCAGTAGTCACAATGCCAGCCTACTAACCCTACTCTAATTTTATTTTATCTTGTGTTTTGGAGACTGAGTTCAAAGAATGTCTTGCAGGATTTGGTGTTCTCTTTTATCATGGTAATTAAATTCAGGTTGTTGGCTTGTTGGCAATCACCTTTACCCACTGAACTGTGAACCATTTTGCATGGCCTTTTGTTTATTTGTTAGTTTTTTGAGACAAGATCTTGTTATTTAGCCTTGGCTGGCTTGGAACTCACTGTGGAGACTAGGCTGGCCTAGAACTTAGAGATCTGCCTGCCTCTGCCTCCCAAGTGTTGGGGTTAATGCCTGTGCCTTTTTTTTTTGTTTTTGAAACAAGGTCTTCTGTTTCCTAGCCTAGGGTTCAGTATGCGGGAAGAAAGTCTTGAATTTCTTACCTTCTGTCTTCTAACTCTCAAGAGTTGGGATTACAGGAAAGCACTACCATACCTAGTTTTATGTCGTACTGTGGACTAAATTTAGAGTTTTCTGCATGGCAGGAGTAACATTTGGCCAAGTGGCCTGCATCCTGAGCTCTGTTTTTAACTTACTTTTATTTATTTGGTATGTGTGGGCACTCATGTGTATGTAACTGTGCATGCCATGGCTTATGTGTGGAAGTCAAAGACCTAATTTTGAGAATCTGCTCTCTCCTACTGTGGGTCCTGGGGTTCAAACTCTGGTTTTGTCAGGTTCGGTAGATGATCCCATTTACTGGGGGAACTATCTCACTGGCCCTCAATTAAAAAAAAAATTTTTTTTCTTGTTTTCTCAATTGCTTTGGTATAGCCAGATATACCTAGTTCCTGGGCTATATAAGAAGACCATGTCCAAAAGAAGATATGGTTCTGTAAAACAAAGATTGATGGTAGTGGTAGCAGGTGCACGGCTTTAATCCCAGCACTTGAGAGGCAGAAGCAGGTTGTGAGTTTGAAGCCAGCCTGGTCTACAGAGTGAGTTCTAAGAGAGGCAGGCTACACAGAGAAACCCTGTCTCGACCCCACTCCAAAGGTTCTTAATCATGGTTACCTTTTTAATTTTAAATTTTTGTGTATGAGTGTTTTGCCTGCATGTATGTCTGTGCATGTATGGCTGGTACCCATGGAGACCAGTAGGGAGTATTGAATCCCCTGGGACTAGAGTTACAAGTAGTTATAAACCACCTTGTGTGTGCTGGAAATCAAATCTGGAAAGAGCAACCTGTGCTCTTAAACCCTAAGCCATTTCTCTAGCTCCAAGATTAGATTTAAAAAAAAAATATGTAAATTTTTATGTGCATTGGTGTTTTACCTGCATGTGTGTCTGTGTGAGGGTAATCAGATCCTGGAGTTACAGACAGTTGGGAGCTGCTATGTGGGTGCTGGGAATTGAACCTGGATCCCCTGGGAGAACAGCCAGTGCTCTTAACTGTTGAGCCACTTCTCCAGTCCCAAGATTAGATTAAAAAAAAAAAACCTATTTTTAATGTATTTTTTTTGGGAATTATCTGTCTAAATGGTGTATTAATTGAGAACATTATTTTCCCTACCACACTATAGTAAATGATGTGTGTTTACTCATTTGTAAGAGAGCATATGCTTGCGTATATGTACACGTGTGCTTGCAGGTGCATATGGAGGTCAGATGTCAATTCTTCAGGTGTCATTCCTTGTGAATGTTTCCCTTGTTTTGAAGTTTTAGCTTTTATTTTATCAATTATGTTTAGGTATGTGTGTCTGCATGTGAGTGCAGGTGACGGGTAGACCAGAGGTGTTAGATCCCCTGTCTAGAGTTATAGGTAGTTGTCAAGCCACCTGACTTGGGTGCTGGGAACTGAGCTTAGGTCCTCTGGAAGACAGGTGGTGCCTTTCTTCTAGTACCTCTGCCTTGCTTTTTGAGACAGGTTCTCTCAGTGGGACCTGGGGCTTGCAGTTTAGACCAGAGTGGTGGCCAATAAGTTCCAGGGATCTGCCTCCAACATCCTCAGTCAGTGCTGGGATCACAAATGGTTCTGGCAGTCAAATTATGTTCTCTTGCCAGTAAGGCAGAACTTGTCGTACTAATTGATGTTTCTAGATCATGTTTCTGTAATTAAGTTTGTTTTGAATTTTCCCCTCCCTCCCTCCCTCCCTCCCTCCCTCCCTCCCTCCCTCCCTCCCTGTTTTGTTTTGTTTTTGAAACACAGTCTCACTATATTATAGCCCTGGCTGTACTGGAATTCCCTATGTATACCAGGCTAACCTCAAACTCAGAAATCTACAAGTGCTGGGATTAAAGGCTTGTGCCACTATGCCGTCTTTTTTTAATTATTGTAGAGAACTCTTGTAAAGTTTTTACCTAGGGTCTTTAATTTGTATGTCTCTCTCCCTCCAAGGCTGGCTTGGAACACAGTATGTAGCTGGGGATGACTTTGTACTGATTCTCCTACCTCTCCTTCCCAAGTGCTGATATTAGAGGCAGCATCACAATAGCCAGATAATCACTGACTAATTTTTTTTTAAACTTTGCCCCATTGCTTTATCATTAAATTTTTTGTTTTAGTTTTTACTTTAAAAAGATTTTTTTTAGTGTGTGTGTATGAATGTTTGTCTGCATGTGTGTGTGTGTGTGTGTGTGTGTGTGTGTGTGTGTGTATGTGTGCTTGATGTCAAGGAGGCTAGAAGAGGCCAATGGATCTCCTTGAAGTGGAGTTAAAGTTGTTAGCTGCCATGTAGGTACCTGAACTTGGGTTCTCTGAAAGTACTACATGATGTTCTTTACTACTTAGCCATCTCTCCTTCTTGTTTTAACATTAAAAAAGATTTATTTTTATTATTAAGAATTATATGTATATCTAGTGTGTATATATGCATGTGTGTGCAGATGCCTGAGGAGGCTAGAAGTGTGAGAATTCCCTTTAGAGCTGGAGGTACAGGTAGTTGTGAGCTGCCTGATGTGGGTGCTGGGAACCGAACTCAGGTCCTCTATAAAGCAGCACACACTCGTAACCACTGAGCCACCTCTCCAGCCCCTTGTTTTATCATTTTTTTGTTTGTTTTTTTAAGATGCAGAATTTCTTTGTGTAGCCCTGGATGTCCTAGTACTAGCTCTGTAGACCAGGCTGACCTTAAACTCAGAGATCTTCTTGCCTTTGTCTCCTGAGTGCTGGAATCAAAGACATGTGCCACCTGCCCAGCATCAATCTTGATATCAACATCTTTCCCTAAACTTTTTACTATTAGGTTGAGAACATTTTCAGATGTATTTGTATATATTTAAGTTTTAAAAAACGTTGTTGTTGCTGGGCGGTGGTGGCGCATGCCTTTAATCCCAGCACTCCGGAGGCAGAGGCAGGCGGATCTCTGTGAGTTCGAGGCCAGCCTGGTCTACAAGAGCTAGTTCCAGGACAGGTTCCAAAACCACAGAGAAACCCTGTCTCGAAAACAAAAATAATAACAACAACAAAAAAAATCCCACTTTGTTGTTGTTGTGTGTGTGTGAGAGAGAGTTCAGGTTCACGTGTTCCACAGTGCCTGTGTGGAGGTCAAAGGACAACTACGAGCAGTTCATTCTCTCTTTCTACCTGGGCTTCTGGAGATCAAATTCACATGGTTAGCGGCTCCACCTGTCTTATTTTAAGATGGGCAATTTTTCTGTAGTATACAGGCTGGCCCGAATTCGCATCCTTTTGCCCAAGCTTTCCAAATGCTAGAATAAGCTTGTGGTTGATTATTATTGTAGAACACTTTTATGAAATTTTTGTCTTGGATTTTCTTCCCACATTTATTTTTCTTTTCTTTTCAAAACAATTTTATTAGACTTAACTCTTTTGTTATTGTGTGACCATTTTGCATGCGTATGTGTCTGAACACAATTCCCTTGGAATTGGTGTGTTAGGGATGGTTGTGATCCGCCATGTGAGTGCTGGGAGTCAAACCTAGGGGCTCTGCAAGAGCAAGCTGTGCTCTTAACCACTGAGCCATCGCTCTGGGCTCATCTCTCCAGGCTCACCTTTCATTTTTTAAAATCAACTTTACAGCCTACAGTTTCATTTATTCTACTCCCCATCATCATTGTATATTTAGTTGCAGTCTGATTCAGAAAATGTAAGGATTGTTTCTCAACTTGGGTTTGACTGATGTACTTCTGGGCAGTATAAAGAAATACAAATGTTTTCAGGGCACCATACTTGAAGCCACCAGGTACAATCTTGTTTCCCCAATGAGAAATTTATTTTCCATGCACTAGTAATCACAAATATGATTCTTTTTTTTTTTTATTGAGCCGTTTCACTGGCCTACAGATACGATTCTTTTCACTGTATTTCCTATATATGGGTAGATATTACCTGTCTTTGTTTTATTTGCTTGTTTGCTTTTTGAGATGGGGTCTCATATAGCCAAGAGTATTTTTGAGTTTTTTATCTAGCAGGGATGACCTTGAACTTCTGATCCTTTGCCTCCATTTCATGATGCTGTTTGTTACAGGCATATGCCCCATACCTGGTTTTTGCAGTGCCAAGGATCAAGCCCAAGGCTTTGTATTTGTACATGTTAGGTAAGCACTGTCAATTGAGCTACATTCATAGCTATTCTTCTCTTTGACACCAAGTCTCATACTTTAAGGCAAGGCTGGCCTGGAATTCACTGTTTAGACCAGGATGGCCTTGAAGCTAGCTGTGGTCCTACTCCAGACTCAGAGTACTAACTGAGCCACCAACCCACTTTCACATTAATTTCTTTTTAATGTAAAAAGTACATACAACATTTAACATCTTAACCGTTGCCTGAACAATTTAGGATGATATTAAGTGTATTTAATTGTTGAGGCAGATCTCCCATCTTGCACATTAAAGATTGCTAGCCTACATACCCTTTTCTCCTTCCCCAGTCCCTGGCACACCATTTCTGCTCTCTGTGTCTGCTTGGTTTTTGTTTCTAGGAATTTAAGTAGAGTAATCCCTCTATTTATGGGGGATATTTTTCAAAGTTCCCTATTGTCTTAGTCACTTCTTCCACAGGCCACACCTATATGAACATATGGGGGCCATTCTCATTCAGACCACCACATTATACTCCCTGGTCTTTACATAGGCTTGTAACCAGCCATATCATAATGCAAAAATGCTTTCAGCCCAACTTAAAACGTCTCCATAGTCTATTACAGTCTCAACACTGTTTAAAAGTCCAAAGTTTCCTCTGAGATTCAAGGCAGTCTTTTAATTGTAACCCCCTGTAAAATCAAACTCGAGGCACACCACATACTTCCAAAATACAATGGCATAGAATATATATTACCATTCCAAAAGGGAGGAAATGGAGCATAGCGGACCAAAGCAAGACTGAAAACCAGCATAGCAAACTCCAAATTTTGCATCTTCATGTCTGATGTCAAGGACTCTTCAACTTTTAGCCCTGTTGACTGCAGCACACTTCTCTCTCTTGGGCTGGCTCCACATTGCAAACTGGTTCTGGTCTGCAGCTTTCTTTGGCAGGTATCCCAAGACTCTGGCATCTGTAACATCTTGGGGTATCCAACACAATCCAGGCTTCTCTTTCACAGCTTCATGTAATGGCCTCTCTGGGCTTCCACGCAGGGACACTCCTGCCACACACACCTGGCCTCGGTGACTTACCATAGAGCCAGATATCATAACCCCTTTTATTTTAGTATTCCTGACTCTACAGCTAGTGCCACAGGGCCATAGCTGAAGTTTGCCAAGTTCTGTGCTTGCTAGGTCTTGATTTGGCCCCCAATTTTTTTCCTTCCTTCCTTCCTTCCTTCCTTCCTTCCTTCCTTCCTTCCTTCCTTCCTTCCTTCCTTCCTTCCTTCCTTCCTTCCTTTCTTTCAGATTTATTTATTATGTATACAGTGTTCTGTCTGCACACATGCCTGCAGGTCAGAAGAGGGCACCAGATCTCATTACAGGTGGTTGTGAGCTACCATGCGGTTGCTGGGAATTGAACTCAGGACCTCTGGAAGAGCTGTCTGTGCTCTTAACTTCTGAGCCATCTCTCCAGCCCTGGCCCCCACTTTCAATGACATTTGCATTCATCTTTCTGTTGCTGGTTCCTTCATTGCTTAAGCTTTCCTTTAATTTGTTTCCACAAGTTGGAAGCTTAGCTTGGAGTGTGTGTGTGTGTGTGTGTGTGGGGGGGTGTCTTGGTCTTACCCTGAGGTTACCACACCCTTCATTCCATTTAGCTTCAGGCTTGTCTTTAAACTTTTTACCTCCTGGAGCATAAGACTTGACTCTAATTAAACATTTCCTGGTACTCCTTTTCTCTTCAAACTGTACTTTTTGTGTTTCTCCTTGCCCCCTTGTTGCTTTTCATTGTAGATCCTCATAAGTGATCACCAGTAACCACATGACAAGTCAATACTAGTTTGTTTTGAAATCTCTGCCAGTGCTATTAACCCAAAACTCTTAAGTTTAGCAGCGGGTAGATTTTTAGACCAAGGGAAAAAAAGCAGCCACATTTATTTATTTATTTATTTATTTATTTTTGCCAAAATATCACAAGAATAGTCTCTAGGCCACTCTTCACCCCAAAACATGGTTTCTTTGTTTAACAGTCCTAGCTGTCCTGGAACTTGCTTTATAGACCAGGCTGGCCTCGAACTCGAATTCACACCTGCTTCTCCCTCCTAAGTGCTGGATTAAAGGCGTGTGTCACCACTGCCCAGCTTCCATGCCACTTCTTAATATTCTTCCCCTTTGAAACTTTTTTTAGCTGGGCCCTAAGTACCATGCTTCTACTAGGAAGGCCCAGTAAGTCCCCCTGAAGCTTCAACCATATTTCTAGTTCAAAGTTCCAAATGTTTTGTAATTTTCCAACAAACAACATGGTCAGACCTGTCACAGCAATATCCCGCTTCCTGCTACTAACTTATGTCTAGGTCACTATGAAGACACCATGACCAAGATTAGAAGTTTTGCTTACAGTTTCAGAGGTTTTGTCTGGTATCAGCATGGCAGGAAGCACGGAAGCATGCAGGCAGGTGCTGAAAGCTATAGGCAAATAGAAGCACGGTGGTCTTGCATGAACTTTTGTAACCTGAAAACCCACCCCTAGTGACACGCCTTCTCTCACCAGGCCACACATATATGAGCCTATGGTGCCATTCGTATTCAAACCACCACACCAGTGGATTCCTGAAACTGAAGTCCAAAAAAAAATTGGTTTTTCTTTTTCTATACACTTAAATATTTTATTTGTTTTGCTTTGCTTTTTGCGTAGTGACCCCAAAGTCAAGTTTATGTGATTTTAAATTCTTTGGTAAATAGATAATTTGAAGTTAAATAAAATTGGTATGTCTTCACAGCTGTCACTATCAAGTGTAACTTGATCAACTTTATTCTGTTTGGGGCACTAGTTAAGCTGATGATTATTCACTACTTTCTTTACAGCACAGGGCTTAGGTGGCATGTGCCTGTAATCCTAGTACTCCTGAGGCAGGAGGATCATGGTTACATAGTGAGATACCTTCTCAAATTTTAAAAAGTACAGGGTTTGTAGATATAATTCTTATTAAAGCGCTAACTTGTTTTGGGGATATTGACACTGAAACAGGATCACGTGTATATTGGGCCCCATCACTGAGTTCAATACTTCATCTGTCTAATCCAGTTATTACTTCAAGTGTTGCAGTGTTAATGATATTTTATAATGATCCTACAAGTGGTTTGCATAGTCTTCCTGATAACTCACTTACATTAATACTACATTAGGAGTAGGTTATTTATTATAGATAAATACAGATCTTCTACATATGCTAAGATATTAAAATGTTGATTACTGAACATCAGTTTAAAGCAGCATGTATTTATTTATTTATTATGTATACAGTGTTCTGTCTGTCTATATCCTTGCTGGCCAGAAGAGGGCACCAGATCTCATTACAGATGGCTGTGAGCCACCATGTGGTTGCTGGGAATTGAACTCAGGACCTCTTGAAGAGCAGTCAGTGCTCTTAACCTCTGAGCCATCTCTCCAGCCCAGCAGCATGTTTCTTGTATTTCATTTTTACAGAGAAACTAAAGACCTTTGGATCTGTTGATAAACACTTTCTGCTATACTGTAAAACTGGTCTGTGAGCAAACTTAGATGATGCATTAGTAAATGGTCCAAAGTACAGAATGCTAGAATATAATATTTTCTATTTCCTAGATTAAAATTAAAATTAAGATTAAAATTAAAAGGTTGCTTAGGGTTAAATTACTTTATTTTTTCTTAATTTTATTCATCCACTTATTTATTTTTTGAGACCGGGTCTAGGCAGCACAGGCTGGTTCTGAACTCTTGTAGCCAAGATGTGTATATATGTGTGTATATATATATGCCCCCCACACCATTAAATACAAATAAACATTGTTAGAGGATCATTAAGTGACAATATGTACTTTGGGGGTTTGGGAATGAAGGAATTCAGGCAAGAGTCATGGTCCAGCAGTGTGGGCCTAGTCCTGGCATAGGGGTTCTGGCTTTGGTCATCTGAGGGGATGGGCTGCAGGCCCCTCAGCTTGGCCAGTAACTAACTCCTGGATGAAGTCCTCTGTGGGATTTGTGCAGTACTCCAAGAGCCCCTGAATTTTTTGGTTTCTTTCTTCTTGACTGTTCAATTCCCACAATTCATAGGTGTTGACTTCATTTGGCAAGTCCGCGATAGTACAGCTTCTCCTGGTGCCTATCCATCTGCTTTTCCACATCCAGCTGCCACTGCAGCTTCCACTGGTTGTACTTGATGCTGACCTGTGTGCTGACTCATGCACTTTCTGTTTCTGCAGCCTGATGGGGCTCACCACCCAACTCCAGCTTGCTTAGCACACACTTGCCCAGCTGCTGTGCTTCCATTGCTCCTTGCCCCTCTGCCTTCCCCCCTCTATTTTTTTAAATCATGTATGTGTGTTGCTGTGTGGGTAGATGCACCCTGAGGTCAGTGCTGTAGAATCCCCTGGAGCTGTAGTTAACAGGAGGTTGTGAGTCACTTGACATGCATCCTGAGAATCAGATTCAGGTCCTCTGGAAGGGCAATAATGCTCTTAACCACTGAGCTGTCTCTATAATCCCAGTCTTGATTCTCTTTATCTCATAAATTTTGGGATTTGATTACATGCATGTGTACCATGTCTAGCCTAAAATTATAATCAATATATTATCATAAAGTTTTATTTTTGAGAAAGTAAAGGTTTATGATAACTAGGACAATATATTGTAACAAAAATTATTATGTGGGCCTCTGAAACTGGAAAGTGACCTTTTATATGCATTGGTGTTTTGCCTGCATGTTTGTAAGTGTGTGGGTGTTGTATCCCCTGGAACTGGAGTTACAGACAGTTGTGAGCTATCATTTGGGTGTTGGGAATTGAACCAGAGTTCTCAGGAAGAACAGCCAGTGTTCTTAACTGCTGAACCTTTTGTTTTTTAAGTCAGACTTCATATAGCTTCTAAATCCTAGGATGTAGGCACATACTTCTATTCCCAACTGGTAATTCTGTTTCAAAAGGAATGGTTGTAATTTTTTGGTAAAATTTTCTATTATATTTAGATGCAGTT